GAAGCAATCAAACGAGCAACGATGAGCACAAGCACTCGACGCCAAAGATCCCGTAGATCACTCTTTTGTATGGAGGGTCTATAACAGTTATTTGACCAAATAACTGCATTTTTCTTATTTCTTATGCTCTTGACTATCAATGTATCTAGTTACAGATATTCGTCGTAGTGTGCAGTGAGTTATGCCTGCTGGTTTGTGTTTCTCACACCAGCTGGCCAATGTATTCTCGCAACATAAAGGCTCGTGCCGCCGCATTTCAATTGGCAACCAATTTGTGCTTCCCATAGAATCTGGACAGTGTTGTGCTTGACAGCTATTCACAAGCTAACGGGAATTAGAAGCCGCATCGTTTATAACGAGTGTGAGCACAGAGGATTACAGAAAAACAACCAACCACGAAAGACTACAAAATCGGCGCTGCAATGGCATTGCAACAAAGGAGCTTGTTCGATGTTTACTTCGACGCGGTGTTATCTCATCTGAAATGGCTTACAATATGAGTTCATGTGAAAGCTCTGATTTAGTGTCTAAGAAGATTCATATGAGATAGTTTTAAACGAACAGCAGTATGGAAATAGGGACTGTTTGGGAAATAGTTGTTTTGTATTTACATAAATATATGCACTATATATATATTTTATATACCATATGCACCCTATAACTGTATGTATGCATATATATGGAGCATATATATATGCATACAGAGCATAGACGTACATATTATATATATATATATATATGCATGCATATATGTATGCATATATGTATATATATGTATATGTATATATAGATGTAAATTTCGGCTTCTCAGAACTATTTCATATGCAAATGGAGTTAATGAATGCAGTGAACTCAATATGGGTGCTTCGCATCAGGTGCGAATTTAGGTAATTATTTCGAGTAAAGAGGTAAGAGGGAGTTTGAAGAGGTTTTACAGAAATGACTGCAATTAAACTCAAGTTCTTCCAAACGAGGAGGTGAACAGCAACACATCTCGGTAGAGCGTTTGACCAGTTCACGAGAAGCAAATGGATTCGAATTAAAAACGATTAATAGATTTTTGGATCGTGCATTCACTGTAAACAATGTTCTAACTGCCAAACACAAGTCGCAATCATTGATTTAAGGCAAAATTTGAACAAACTGGTTTTCGCAGGAATAGCACCACCTAGGAAGAAGAACAGCAGTGAAAGAAACATCTGAAAAGCAAGATGAATGTCACTTGAAGAATGGCACCAATGTCTTTTTTATGCTAAATTTAAAGCGACAAAACGTAGTCAGAGAAGATTCGTTCCAATCTGAATGAGTAAATGCGGTGTTTGCATTTCGAAACTAAATCAGCGCAGAATTTCCTTGTAAATCATGAGGAGTTCGCCATGATATCAGTTTCTCATCTTCTCCTCATAGGTAGCAAAAATTGTTACTTTGATCTAAGTGACTGCTGTTTCCATCCGTATATCCTATGAAAAAGTAGTGTGAAGGAATTTTTTGATGCTTATTATGGGAAATAAACCCGTAACTCTAAAAAAACTTTCGAATATAGTTGCCGCAACAACTTCAAATTCGACCACTCATCATTTTTTTGTAGATTAGGATTTCATGTCGTCTCATGTCTGTATTATTTATATCAGGTAATTTTATCGAAGCGCGCTTCCAAACAGTGAATTAGAAAAAATATATAGCAATAAGTTCTCAGATAGGTGTGACTGTGTTAGACGTCATTATATGCGCATCTTGCGCTTTTTCGTTTGTTGCTAATGACGTCTCACTTGTTGCTTAAGATATTCTCGACTACGGAAAGAATGTTAGACGAAAACAAATTTAAACGGTTTTCAATTCAGTTCAAACTTGATCGTAAAACAGTGAAGAAACTCTCGAAATAAATAATGCATTCGATGCAGGAACCGCTAACGAACGCACAATGAAGTGGTGGTTTAGGAAGTTTCGTAGAGAACAGGAAACCCTGAAGATGAGAATCATCATAAAGAAAAAATTCACTTGACAGCAATCATCGAAGCTCATTTTTTCAATGATGCACGAGTTTTAGCAAAACAACCTTTGAGTTATCTCGCCATTTCCGAAATACAAAAGCTTTCGCGGTTATGAACAGGTCAACAGCAACTACTTATGCATTAATATAATTGAAACTCTGGTGGACACCTTATACTGGAGAACAGTACGGTGAGTAGAGGAGATGGCATAAATGAAATTCATTTAATTATCAATAATATGAAAACTACGAGATGAAAAGAATGACTCGCATAAAAAAAATTGGAAAAAATAAAGAGTAGTCAAAGGAAGCCGTATGAACCATCACATGGTTCAAGCTTGTTCAAGCAGAGCATTTAGTGAAGTATTTCACAAGGGATGTAAACGACTGGTTCATAACTTTAACTGTACTTTCCGAAAGTAAATAATGCTCATCTTCATTTACGGACATTCTGCAAGATTTTATGAACACAGGTGCAAGTTGGAGGGTGACTGCGGGTAGTAAGATTCCATGTTCTCCATAATCTCATGTGATTCCGGAGACAGATGTCTCATAATTGTGAGCTGTCATTCTTTATTACGCTACTGTAATAAATGATTGAGTCTGCTGTAATTCTCATTGGCAGCAATGACAGCAACTTCTCGCAATCCGATTGATTTCCTGATCAAAACTACTAGGTTGAGGAAAAATCCTTAACACCCGAGATAAAACCAAATTTCAAGTTTCTTTCACACAGTGTGGGTTATTGTAAAATTGTAGGAATATCACAGAAATGTTCTTATCAGCTGGACCGAGTCTACGATGCTCTAGAGGAAAAGTATCCGACATTAATCCGTGGAGAGCGTGTGCTGTTCTAACAAAACAATGTCAAACCTTTCACAGCAAGGAAAACTAGGGAGAAGTTCTATAAGTAGGTGGGAGTCGAGGTGTAGCCTCATTCAAGCTACGGTGCAGATACTGCGCCGCCGATGATGATCTTTTTCGTTCAGTGGAGCATATCCTGCGTGGATGCCGATTAGAGACATTTGGTCACGTTGAAGAGGCATATCAGAAGGTTTTTGATTGAAACTCCGAGGAATACCGATTTTGACCTCGGAAGTACGCAGACCGTTGGCAGGAGAATGTGGACAATGATGGCTTTTATTCTGAAGAATAGTTATTGTTGCTTACAGATGAATTTATGTGTAAATTTGAGTTTTCAGCGGGTTAAGAACCTTTTTCTCAACCTAATTGCTATCAATACGATGACAGTCTCTCATTTAGTGACTTCAAGACTGTAATGGTGTCCAGGGTGCATGATTCGACGAGTGCTATTTTGAAGCAAGCTCAGTATGAGTATAAAAACAGCCTTCTATCTCAAAAGACCGCTCTCTGCCTTTTTTTTAACTCATTTACACATACTGAATATTGAATCTCATCAGCTAAAATAGATACTGCTTGTGCGATGTGGATTATGAAAAAATATTATTTACAAAAATCGAATGTTAAGAATATTTTTTGTAAAAGTGTTAGTAATCATTCAAAAGCTCAAATCTTTAGCTGAAGACGTACGTGAGCGTTTTCTCAAAATACTCTTTTGCAACGCTGTATGATTCAAAATAAAATTATGTCGTACACCCGCTGCGTGACTTCATTCTTATCACGCGCACAGTTGCTGAAAGCACAAAAAGCATATAAATGTGTAGAGGGAGTTTCACAGTATCTGAGTCAATCGTTTTATGTGAAGTTTTCTTTTGAAGAGAAGAAAAAATCCCCAATTGAAAACAGATTCACCCCACACGTCTATTTAACATCGATCCATCCCATCAACTGCTTCTAAAATCTCGCTATAAACTTTCAATATATCCTGTAGGAATGTTTAAGGCCTTACCGAGGTTATTACGCCAGAGTCCTATGTACTTCTCAGAGGTCTCGCTCTCTTCATTAGTGGCCCACGTCCCATGTTGAACTCTGTTCTATTAGCAGTGATAGGGATGCGTTGTTTATGGTGATAGCTTATGATATTGTTGATCACCAATTCTTTCAGCCGATGTGTTGCTGTTGGTAGCAGATATGTATTGATCCATCTCATCAACTGTTTTTGAAAAAAGCGGACAAATATACGTAACAACCTCGGTAAGTTCTTAGGCGATCTTACAGGATATATTGAACGTTTATAAAGATTTTTGAAAACAGTCAATGAGATGGAATTATACATATTGACTACCAACCATAATATATCTCCTGAAAGGAAATGGTGACAACTCAGTATCATTTACTATCGTCAAAAACAGCATTTCCATATCACAGTTACAGAATAGGGTTCACTTTGTAGCGTGGGTCACTGGTGAAGTAGGCGATATTACGAGACTCACGTATTCCCCTTGGCGTAAAAACCTCGGTAAGGCTAAAATATTCTTATAGTATATAACCCGTATCGATTGATCGCCCCATCCCACATCCTCGCTCGTGTGCTGGCCGATAAGCAAATTCGCCGAATATGTGAAGCTCGATCCTACTTCCTCTTCTACGCTGTAGTGGAACGGTCTTTCCTTAAAAGTGAGCATAGAATCGGAATCAGTGGAAACTTACGCTATCGATTATTACTAATAGTTTGAAGAAAGAGCTTTATTCGGCGAGGTGTAAAGCACAAAACTTCTCTTTCTCCCATAGCGCAATCAAAAGAGTTTCTCAAAGGCAAACGCAATTTTCAGTTCTTGAAGACTGTGCTATCGAAGGAGTACTAACAGTATAAGGAAAGTGTTTCTGTTCCGCGAATTATAAACGAGATAACGAAAAAACGCGTGGTAGTGTGAAATGTAATATTATTTTGGATATTACAAGCGTTATAAAAGGGTGTTTCGAAAGGCGTGCCACATGCGGTTCTAGCCAGAAATCTAAGTTTTTGAGTGATTGCTAACACTTTTATGAAAAAATCTTGTCCAGCAAATGAAGTTGAATATTCACTTGTTATCGTCTGACATATAAGTACCTATTTACCCATTAATGTGGTGTGCTGTGCAAATACATGTGCATCAGCCGGGATTTGAACCCAGATCTCACTCTTTCCGATAGCGTGCTGAACCGTTGCACCATCGACGCTCCTTTTGCACAGCACTCTTTCTACGTTACAACGCGTTATTTGTCAACAGCCAACCGTCGACGGTCTGGCGGGGTAGCCGCTGTCGGCATTTAACCCACTTATGTTGACAGATATTGGGTATCAATAATCAGTCGAAATTATTTTATTTCAAAAATGAATAAATGAGTTTCGATTGATTATTAGTACCTACTTTACTTACTGCCACGCCATTGTCACCCTATTTGTCCACTTTTGAACACTCCACAATATTCGAATAACAAATGTTCACTATACTTTCTCCTATGCCACGAAATTGAAATCATTGTTACACTGTAATTCTGCAAATCTCACTCTTTCACGTAGTTTGATGTTTACTTCGATCACTATATCAAAAATTCGTTGCGAGACGTGCCAGCATCCGCCTATTTCCAGCAGTATAAAAGTGCTACCAATTGGTGCGGGAGCTGTTCTAGGTGTTTTCCGACGCTTTGATTAGGTTGTAACTTGTTGTAGTTTTTGATTTTGAGCCACGATGCTTTGCGGACACCTTGTCCTGCTACATCAATTAGTCGAGAAATCACGCACTTATCATTTATTGATATTAGCCCTTGTTCAATTCCTATAAATTCTATTATTAGCTATGAGTGGCTTGCAATGTATTCAAGGTAGTTGATAGCTATAGGTGCTTTCCTTAGGAAAATCGCCTTGAACTTGGCTAAAATCTGTATAATCTTAAGAACTGAGAGTTGTTTTCTAAGCGAAACTATTGTGCGTTGAACACACTTCCCAGTTTTTTTTTTTGAGGATTTAAGTGATTGTCTATATATTGAGGCTGACTGGCGCCAACATTTTGTACTTCTAACTGCCCAGTAAGCCATATAATTAGGTTAAAGAAAAGATTCCTAACACCCGCTGTAACTTCAAAGTTTCGATATAAACTCAATGAGGAAACAACAATATTTTTCTTCAAAATGAAAGCCATCATTATCCACAATCTTCTGACAATGATGTGCAAGATTCTGAATGTGGTCAAAATCGTGATTTTTTGGACTTTGATCTCAAAAAGACCATATATCTTCAACTTGATAAAATGTATCAAATTGGCGTGCACGCAAAAAGTGCTCCTAATAACGGAAATGGACCATAATATGATCGCGCCAATATCTGGACTGTAGGCTGGTTGTGGCAAAACCTCAACTCCTTCCAACATCAAACCTTTACTTAGTCATCTTTGCAATTTGAGGTGTTTCGGCACTTGTCTCGTACACTGTCGAGTACTCTTCCTTCAGCGCATCGTAGACTTGGTCCAGCCGATGAAAACATTTCTCGAATAATTCTATGGAATTACAGTGGCCTTTACGATAACAGAAAAACTTTCATGTGTCCCATATCGTGTGAAAGAAACATAAAACTTGAATTTTTCGTTTGCGTTAGAGAATTCTTACCTCAACCTAGTAGTTTTGCTCACGTAATCAATCGACTTCGAAGAGATTTCGTCACTGGTGGAATCTATAGGAATTATAACAGGCTTAATCGTTCTTTGCAGCTGGCAATAAAATGACAGGTCGCAAGTATCTATGAAGCTACTATCTCCGGATGCACGCGAGATGATAAGCATCATAAAAATCTCACTATCCTCGGGCACCCGCCAACTCGGCATCTGTGCTCGTGAAATATTCCAGAATATCAATAAATGAAAGCACGCATTATTCATTGATGCAAAGATCAGGTGAAGTTGTGGACGTGTTGCCTAAATCCCCATGTGAAACACTAAGCTTTTTTTTGAACAGTTTCATACCTTGGAATGATTCTTTGGAGACTCCCATTGAGTTCTCTTCATTTTTATAATCTCTTCCTGCAAGTCATTTCCTTACTCATCACATGTTTTCATATCATTGCTAACAAACTGAAGTTCAAGCTCTATTTATCGTACTACTCGCCAATATAATCTGGTCATTATAATTTCTATCGTACTAACACATAAGTAGTTACGGTTGGTCTGTGTGAACCTGCGTTTTCTTCTGTATTTTGGAGATGGCGAACGACCCTAAAATGTGTTGGGTTCTCTTGCAAACACTCATGTAGTTTTGAGAGGATCACCTTTGACAATTGTTCTCAAGTGAATTTTCTCTTTGCGGCGTTCCTCGTCTTCGAGCCTTCGTCTCCTCAACGAAACTTCTTGAGCCATCACTACATTGCGCGTTCGACAGCCTTCTTGGTCTGGATGCATTGTTAATTTTTGCATTTTTCTCTTCTGTTTTATTACCCATTTTGACCACATTAGAAAATCAGTTGTATTTGCTTTTTGCCTGACATCCTTTACATTGTCTAAAATAAATTAAGCAGCAACTAAGACGTCATTAGCAACAAATCATTAAGTGCAAGATGCTCATCGTAATTATGTGTAACACAACGACATCTATCCTGAAGATACATTCTTATATGTAATTATTTCTGAATTCACGGCTTGAAATTGCAGATACGTTCGAATTGAGTTACTACAAATATTGTAAACATGAAAAGGCATAAAATGCCAACCCACAAAAAATTAATGAGTGGTCGAAATTGAAGTTGTTGACGTTACTATATTTGAAAGTTATTTCAAAGTTAAAGTGCTTCCAGTATCGAACTGGGAGCCGAAGAAAATAAAGATCGTGGAATGTTTTCCATAGGATACATGCGATAGAAATGCTGTTGAATTGGTCAAAGTAACATCCTCCTCCTTCCTATGAACAGAAGTAGAAAATTACGCTCTCGCTATAATTAATATAGCGAATTCCCCAAAAATTTGCAACCGAAATTCGCGCGGAATTAATTTGAGAGGCGTACCGCATTTACCTACTCAGGTTCGAATTAAAATGTCCTCCGGCAGCATTTTGTAGATTCAAATTTACCGTAAAAGTAGGACACTGGTGAAATCACTAAAGTAGCATTCAGTTTTGCTTTTCAGAATGATTCTCTCACTTCTGGGCCTCTTCGTGGTCGGCATTGTCGCTGCACAAGCCAGTTCGTTTCAAATTTTGCTTTGGGTGACTGATAACAGCTTGTGTTTGATAGCTCAAACAACGATTACGGTAAATGCACAAATGTAAAGCTTTAACAATCGCTATAACTTCAGATCCATGTTCTACTCGTGAAATGGTCACGCGCCGTGACATTGTATGTTGCTGTCCTCCTCCTCATCTAGCGGATTTTGAAATTCCTTGTAGTAGGTTTTGTAGAAGTTTTCCTAGCTCCCTTTTCTTTTTCCCTCAAAATAAGTGTTCAAATTCTTAAGTGGGTGAGTTACATCCATACTGAGTTCACTGCATTCACCCATTCCATTTGCATGTGAAATCGGTGTGAGAAGCTGAAATTATATTATTAATATATATATATATTATATATACATATATATATACGCATGTTTATCTATTTATATAGTTATTTATTCAAGAACTGTTGTGATAATTGTAAATATTGTAATATCTTCAATCATAATATACAGTTATGGATTTCGGTAGTTACATCATCCGTGAGCGGTCGGTTAATTCTCCTTCTTACTTCTGCTTTTGATTTCGGCTCAACATCATCCCCGAATCAACAAGTAGAAAGCCGGGCTAGGGATCCATCGCCGAAATTATTCTTTGGAAGCGACATCGTGAACACCTGAAAAACGCCGTTGTAAGGTTACGTCAGAAGGAAAGGAATATCGCATGCGCGACCAGCAATTTACTATTTGGAATATGTGCTGGGGTCCGCACAACTAGTGAGGACGGGCCATCTAATTATCTTAGTGAGTATCTAATATGTAGTTATAAGATTTCATATCGCACTGGTAAATATTATATTTATCACTTCATTGATTCGTCTTCGCGTTTTTTTTTTTTGGCTGTGCGGATCCCGAGTACTCGCTTTCGCTTCGCTTTTGTCTTCTTCCTGAATGTTCAAACAGTAATTCTACAGTCTTCCTGCAATCTCGAGGACAGTGTGGCCTGGCTGTGGCGTTTCATGAGGTATCGTTGTTGACTGCCGTATAGTGCTCTGCGGTGGGGTCCTGCCTGCCAGCGCTACGAAGAGCAGCACAACCTCTCGATATGGCGCTACTCAATATTATATCATTGTGGATTATTGTCATTATTCATTATTGTAAAAGCACTAATATTGTCAGAAATCTTTGGCGCAATGTTATCACTTTATCATCACGATATTGTATTATTCTACTGATATATCTATGTAAATAGTAATATGCATGCATATATATATATATATATATATATATAACGTTTTAGGAAAGAAGGCTGGAGGATGTCCTCGTCTGCTTGACACGGCGCCCCTAGACAAATGCGACCCTTCAATGAGCACAGACAACTATCTTTTCCAGTCTACGACGATGTAAATGCAGAATTTCTCTATGATGTGTTTTGATTGAGTTGGGAAATAAAGCATGTGTGAACTGAGCTTTGAGAATAATAACAACACATTAATCAATCTCTCGAAGATCTAACCGTGATAGTTCCACTGACGATGTATGCGTCTCAAAATCTCAAAGTTCAAATAGATATGTTGACTTTGTCGTACATCTGATTAAAGTCAAATATAAGCACTAATAAAACACATATTGCCTCGACGTAAGTACAAACCCCTTTTCCCATCTTTACTCATGAAAGAATGCCTGTTACCGAAGGCTTGAAATAGGGTGAATTCCACTAGGTATGACGCAATCAACCAATGTTAGAAATGGTCATTATTTATTGTACCATGCTCTGCAAGCATTGATAATAAATCCGACAATTTTCATAATTACGGTTGCTTTTCTTGTTTTCCACAGGTTAATGTGAAAGATAAAGGAGCAACGTGCAGCAATTCATTGAATATGCTTCTGTAAAACAAATATGATAGTTATTTTCTGTCATCAACACAGATATCACCTGAATCACCTGTCGTCCCGTTGATCGTCTAGTGACTCAAGCGAGTACCAGCAACACTTCCATTTTTCCCTATCGCGTACAAGAGCAGCCCAGTAGGTCCTCCTCGCACT